CAGTCGCCTGGAGGTGGCTGGGGGGTTGCGGCGGGGGCAGAGCCGCATTTTGGGGTACAGTTGTATTTCTGGGTACCCTCGTTGCAGACCCCGGCCGTGTTGCGGGGTCTCCCCTGGCCAGGACACGGGATGGGAGGGATGTTGCAGGGGAACGCTCGTGGAAACAATCTGAACCCAGGGACATTAAAATTCTCATTATGAGACAGGTTGCGGCAGCAGTGGGCAGGGGCAGGCACTGGCAGAGGGGCAGCTCCGCCCCGGTGCTGGGACAGAGGGGGGCCACCTGGGGACACTCATCACACAGGGTCCCCGTCACACCGGGGCCGGCTCCGAAGGACCCTTCCTCTACTACATCACTCAGTCTGGGGAGAAAGATGGGCTCAGCCCCGGGAAAGGCGCATTGCAGGTGGGTGCCAGCTCCGGTCGGAGCAGCCCTGCCCAGCCAGGAGCCCCTCGAGCTGACCTGGGGTGCCTTGGTGCGGTGGCAGCCCCATTCGGGGCGAGGTGGGGCTGGGTGGGACGTGGGCCAAGGGTGAGGTTTCCGTGGGGCTGGTTGTTTCTTTGGTTTAGATGGGGGGAAATAAGAGGGGAAACAAAGCAGGGAGCGGCTCCGCTTTGTGGGGTAGCGGGGAGGCTGGGGCCATCCCCCCAGCACAGCATCCTCCCGGCTCGCTTGGGCTCCCACCCGTCCCGGTGCGGCCAGGAGCCCCTGGCCCCCGCGATGGCGCCCGGGTCCCCGCTCGACGCTTCTCATGTACCTTCTCGGTTCTGCCCCACTCCTGGCAGCGGGATGCGAAGCGCAGAGGGGAGGAGGAGATGATGGGACCGGTGGGTTATGTACAGAATGGTGTCGGCGGGTAACGAGCTGTTGTCCGTTGCGATCAGACGGTTGCGGTTTGATTCATTGCTCCCACGTTGCTCCGAGACCCCACGGATCCACACAGGAGCTGTTGGCAAGGACAGACACGGCGGCAACGTGATGCTGTATTGCTGGTCCCCCGGTGCACGAGGGACGGGTGTGATCCCGGCAGGGATGTGGTCCGGGAGCGGGTGGTGGGTCCCGGAGTCTTAGAGGAGCTGGAAGCCGGGAAGGGCAAGCGGATCGGACGCTGTGGGCGTCGCTGCGTGGTGGCGATGGCTCCGAGCATCTCGAGGATGCGGCAGCGGGAGGGAAGCAGAGGGCTCTGCAGAAGCCAGCGCTGCGGTACCTAAAGCGATGGTGGTTGGGGACGTGACTGCACAGACGGTGGCACCGGGGACCACAGAAGAACTCAGGTTTGGCGTTATCCTCCCCACCGCAGCCATGCCAGTCCCCCCACGGTGGGGGAGCCGACGGTCCTTCTGACCGTGCCCACAGGAGCAGGTCACCTCCTTGTCCTCATCTCCTGGCCAGGCAGAGACGAGCTGTGCAGGCAGACCCTCACCAGCACCAGGCAGGAGCTGCTGGACGTCGTGTGCACGGCTGCTGGCAATAATGGTGGTCCTGTCCTCCCGGCCCCACAGACGGCTCGAGCAAGGCGCTGCAGGGCTCAGAGAGGCAAATCCCGCTGCTGAGGCCAAGGAGCCTTTGGCTTCCCCTTAAAGCAATTCCAGCTCAGCTTCTCCGGCCCTGGCCGGGAAGGTTCTGGAGTCGACACACTCTCCCTGGAGGAACCCCTCCGATTTCTTCCCAAAACGGACCAGTCTCCCAGCAGCCACCTCCTCTCCGTCCTTGGGGGGGGTCACTGCGTGTGGAAAATAATACTACAAAGAAACAGGATGAAGACACTCCAGTGGCTGCCATGCCATCCCCAAGGGGACGGGGACCAGGTCTGCCATGTTCCCACTGCTGGCCCCGCGCACCCCTGCCTGGGGGAGCCTCTGTGCTCCACCACCAGCCTCCGATGCGGCCGGGAAAGAAAATCGGCTGAGGTCCCGGCAAGGGCAGCCTCTGCCACACCCCTCCGCTCTCACAAACCCCTCTCCTCTCCGAAACGTCTCTCCCATCGGAGCAGCCCGGTCACCACGTCCCACCGCCTTATTTCTTCTCCCCTTGCCCGTCCCCAGCTGGCGTCTCGGGCTCCCACAGGACGAACTCGTGGAGCAGCGTGTTCACCGTCTCGGGACACTCCATCATCACCATGTGGCTGCCCTCATCGATCACCTTCAGGAAGGCAATCAGCAGGATCTGGAGGGAGATGGTGGCAGTGGCGGGCGTCAGCGCCGGGACGAGCCCCCTGCCCACATCGCCACGGGTGGCAGTGGCGGGCGTCAGCGCCGGGACAAGCCCCCTGCCCACATCGCCACATGCTGGCAGGCAAACCCCAGCCCTCGCCCACCCCCCCAGCCCCGCTCGGTCCCCTACCTCAGCCATTCGCTGGTCCTCCTCCACCGGGACAAACTTGTCATGCATGCCGTGGACCAGGAGCACGGGCACGGCCAGCTCCGCGTGATAAACCTCGTCACCCTCCGGCCAGTACTGCCCGCTCATCATGGCGCGCAGGACAAAGGAGGACACGTTGAAGGCGTTGCCTTCCTTCAGCAGCTGCTTCTCTTTGGCACCCTGGCGAGCGAAGCCAGCCCTGCGGGACGGAGCCGGCACGGGCAGAGGGTTAGCCCAGCGCGGTGCCTCGGCATCGGGGGGACGGGAGCGTGGGGGACGCCGCTGGCAGGACGCGGTGTCCCTGCCCGCGGTGGCTGGAAGCCAGGTTGGCCGGGGACAACCCTCCCCAGCACCGCGGTGCCGGGACGGCCACTCACTTGAGGAAGCTCCAGGCCAGGCACGGGGACAGGCAGTGCAGCACGCAGGTGGGCATGTTGAAGATGGAGCAGAGGCTGGGTTCCAGCGCCGTTGGGCCCCCTCCGTTGATCATGATCACCTTATGGACCAGGTCTGGGTACTCGTGGGCGAGGAAGGTGCAGAAGGACACCCTGCAGGGAGAGACGGACATGGGGGCCGCGCTCTGACCCTGTGGCACCGGAGGATGCTGCATCCCGTGGCAGATCTCAAGGATCTGTGGCCGGACCCCAGGCTACACCCCCTCGTTTGACCCGTGCTCCCCCTTTCTGGGGCAGGGTAACCCCAGTCAAACCCCACAGCCGGTGCCCTGCAGAGCCCGGGCAGAGGGGCTGAGCTCGGGGTTTCACTCCTGTGCGGAGCAAAGCAGGGTGCTGGGAACCGCTTGGGTGCCTGCCAGCCTGGACCAGCCTTGTCCCGATCTAATCCTACCCAGCTCGGAGCCCGTCCCCGGCTCCCTCTCCTCCCAGCCCTGCTCTCCGCACTGCTTAGTCTCCATCTAATTGACTTTCTTGGGCTTACTCTATTTATAGGCTGTGCTGTGCCAGCTTCCCTGCTGCAGGACGGGCTCTGGGATTAGCTGGACCCTGGGACACACACCAAGAGGATGTAGGAGGTCAGAGCTGAGGGATAAACCCAAAACGGGAAACCCCATACCCCTCCTCTGCTTCTCGGCCCCCGAAGTGCAGGATTTGTTGGGCGTTCGCTGCCAAGGAGAGGACGGTGGGGGGATGAATTCACCCCTTCCCTCCTGGGACCCCCTGGTCCCTTACCCGTACGAGTGTCCTATCAAGATATTCCTCTTCTTTGCGTAGCGCTTGAAGATGGCCCTCATGTCCTCCGCCAGCGCGTAGAAGGTGTACGCGGCGGCGATTTGGGGAGCCGAGCTGCAGCCGTGGCCAGCCAGGTCGGGAGCCACCACTTCATAGCCCAGCTTGGTAAAGAAGTCCAGCTGCTCCTTCCAGATGTCCAGCGAGCCACCCACGCCGTGGATGAAGAAGAGGACCACGTCGCTGTGCGTCCCTTTGCAGCTTGTGATCTGCTTCTTGCAGTCGATGTTGACGACTTTCTTGGGTTTACGCTTCCGACGCTTGCCGGGGGCAGCGGCTGCTTCCCGTGCGCCGCATCCCGGTGTGCCAGCGGGACCCTGGGCAGGAGCTTGGCCGGCCAGGTCAGAGAGCTCCAGCTCCACGGTGCTGTTGGGTTCCCCCGAGCTGTTCTGGCAGTGCAGGATCTCGGAGCGGACGGCGTCCCCCAGGTTCTCAATCACCAGCTGCCCGTTACGGTAGACGGTGATCTTGCGCTTGCAGTGCACCGTGCCCCGCTCCGGCCTCCCGGGCTGGGTCTCCTCGAGCCTCTCCGGAGCCGGGCGGTTGGGCGTGTTGTGCCTGACCCGCAGGATCCTCCCCGGCTTCACCTCTATGAAGCTGTAGCCGTTGCTGGACTCAACGCTGTCCAGAGGCCCCACGGCGTTCGTCGTCTTGCCCATCAGGCAGCACAGGAGCCCATCGGTGATGCTGTTCAGCATTATGCTCCCTGCAACGAAGGCAAGAGAGGGGGGGCAGGAGAAGGGGGGGTTAGTCACCAGCTCCAGCGCCCAGCGGGGACCTGCTGGGGGTCCTGGCTGCGGCACAGGGGACCAGGGACAGCCCCGTTTCCCCCCCCCCCCCCCCCC